TGGGAGCTCACTCATGATTTGGCTCCCTATTTGTCCATTATTGATGTATAGGAATGCTTGTGATTTTGCACATTGATTTTGTATCCTGAGACTTTGCTGAAGTTGCTTATCAGCTTAAGGAGACTTTGAGCTGAGACAAAGGGGTCTTCTAAATATACAGTCATGTCATCTGCAAATAGAGACAATTTAACTTCCTCTTTTTCTAATTTAATACCCTTTCTTTCTTTTTCTTGCCTGATTGCCCTGATCAGAACTTTCATTGCTATGTTGAATAGGAGTGGTGAGAGAGGGCATTCTTGTCTTGTGCTGGTTTTCAAAGGGAATGCTTCCAGTTTTTGCCCATTCAGTATGATAATGGCGGTGGGATTGTCATAAATAGCTCTTAATATTTTGAGATAAGTTCCATCAATACCTAGTTTATTAAGAGTTTTTAGCATAAAAGCCTGTTGATTTTTGCCAAAGACCTTCTCTGCATCTATTGAAATAATCATGTGGTTTTTGTCTTTGGTTCTATTTATGTGATAAATTACGTTTATTGATTTGCATATGTTCAACCAGTCTTGTATCCCAGGGATGAAGTGGACTTGATCATGATGGATAAGATTTTTTGATAAGCTGTTAGATTTGGCTTGCCAGTATTTTATTGAGGATTTTCACACCAGTGTTCACCAGGGATATTGGCCTGACATTTTCTTTTTCAGTTGTGTCTCTGCTGGGTTTTGGTATCAGGATGATGTTGGCCTTATAAAATGAGTTAGGGAGGATTCTTTCTTTCTTTTTTTTTTTTTTGAGATGGCGTTTTGCTCTTGTTACCCAGGCTGGAGTGCAATGGCGCGATCTCGGCTCACTGCAACCTCCGCCTCCTGGGTTCAGGCAATTCTCCTGCCTCAGCCTCCCGAGTAGCTGGGATTACAGGCATGTGCCACCACGCCCAGCTAATTTTTTGTATTTTTAGTAGAGATGGGGTTTCACCATGTTGACCAGGATGGTCTTGATCTCTTGACCTTGTGATCCACCCGCCTCGGCCTCCCAAAGTGCTGGGATTACAGGGATTCTTTCTTTTTCTATTGTTTGGAATAGTTTCAGAAGGAATGGTACCAGCTCCTCTTTGTACCTCTGGTAGAATTTGGTTGTGAACCCATCTGGTCCTGGACTATTTTTGGTTGGTAGGCTATAAATTGCTGCCTGTATTTCAGAACTTGTTATTGGTCTAGTCACGGATTCAGCGTCTCCCTGGTTTAGTTTTGGAAATGTGTAGGTGTCCCAAGAATTTATCCATATCTTCTATATTTTGTTTTATTTGCATGGAGTTGTTTGTAGTATTCTCTGATGGTAGTTTGCATTTTTGTGGAATCGGTGGTAATATCCCTTTTATCATTTTTTGCATCTATTTGATTCTTCTCTCTTTTCTTCTTTATTAGTCTGGCTAGTGGTTTATCTACTATGTTGAGCTTTTCAAAAAACCAGTTCCTGGATTCATTGATTTTTTGAAGGGTTTTTTGTGTCTGTATCTCCTTCAGTTCTGTTCTGGTCTTAGTTATTTCTTGTCTTCTGCTAGTTTGAACGTCTTTATTTCTGTCTCCATTTCATTATTTATCCAACAGTCATTGAGGAGCAGGTTGTTCAGTTCCCATGTAGTTGTGTGGTTTTGAGTGAGTTTCTTAATCCTGAGTTCTAATTTAATTACACTGTGGTCTGAGAGACCGCTTGTTATAATTTCCATTCTTTTGCATTTGTTGAGGGGTGATTTACTTCCAACTATGTGGTCAATTTTAGAATAAGTGCAATGTGGTGCTGAGAAGACTGTATATTCTATTGATTTGGGTGGAGAGTTCTGTAGATGTCTATTAGGTCCACTTGGTCCAGAGCTGAGTTCAAGTCCTGGATATCCTTGTTAATTTTCTGTCCTGGTGATCTAATATTGACAGTAGGGTGTTAAAGTCTCCCAATATTATTGTGTGGGAGTCTAAGTCTTTTTGTAGGTCTCTAAGAACTTGCTTTATGAATCTGGGTGCTCCTGCATTGGGTGAATATATATTTAGGATAGTTAGCTCTTCTTGTTGCATTGATCCTTTTACCATTATGTAATGCCCTTCTTTGTCTCTTTTGATCTTTGTTGGCTTAAAGCTGGTTTTATCAGAAACTACAATCGCGATGCCTGATTTTTTTTTTGCTCTCATTTTCTTGGTAAATCTTCCTCCATCCCTTTATTTTTGAGCCCATGTGTGTCTTTGCATGTGAGATGGGTCTCCTGAAGACAGCATACCAATGGGTCTTGACTCTTTATCCAGTTTTCCAGTCTGTGTCTCTTAATTGGGGCATTTAGCCCATTTACACTTAAGGTTAATATTGTTATGTGTGAATTTGATCCTGCCATTATGATGCTAGCTGGTTGTTCTGCCCGTTAGTTGACATAGTTTCTTCATTGTGTCAATGATCTTTATAATTTGATGTGTTTTTTTTAGTGGCTGGTACCCCTGTTTCTTTACATTGGTGATGTTTTTGTTGAAGTCTCCCACAAAATAAATTTACTCTGTGATAATATTGTCCATAATGCCCAAGTCCCTCAAAGCTGTTTCCCCTATGGCATTGTCCGTGGTGCTGAGCATTAGTGTGTTTGGCCCTGTATTGGAAAGTGTGGGGCCAATACGACGGAATAAGAGAGGAATTTTGTTCTGTTCTGTTTTGTATTTGACACATCATGGTCAAAATCTCCATGATGAATAAAGCAGAAATTCAACTTGGATTTTTTAAACCACAATTTCTGCAGTGCCCTCTCTCATCACTTCTATTCAACATAGTACTGAAGTCCTGACTAAAGTAATCATGCAAGAGAAAGGAAAAAAGGGCATCTAACTAGAAAGAGAGGTCAAACTATCCCTGTATGCAAAAAATCACTAGAACTCCTATATGCCAACAACAGCAAAGTATAAAGCCAAATCAGGAATGCAATTCTATTCACAACTGTCACAAAAATAATAAACTACCTAAAATTACAGCTAACCAGGGAGGTGAAAGATTGCTATAATGAGAATTACAAAACACTGCTCAAAGAAACCAGAGATGACACAAAGAAATGGAAAAATATTCCATGCTCATGGATAGGAAAAATCAATATCATTAAAACAGTCATACTGTCCAAAGACATTTACAGATGTAACACTGTTCCTAGCAAACTATGAATAACATTCTTCACAGAATTAGAAGAAAAACTATTTTAAAATTCACATGGAACCAAAAGAGAGTCAAATGACAGAGGCAATTCTAAGCAAAAAGAACAAAGCTAGAGGCATCACATTACAAGGCTACAGTAACCAAAACAACATAGTTTTGCTATGAAAACAGATGCATAGACCAATGGAACAGAATGGAGAGCTCAGAAGTAAGGCCACGCCTCTACAACCACTTGATCTTCGACAAAGCTGACCAAACAAGCAATGGAAAAAATGACTTTTTCTTTTTTCTTTTCCTTTTTTTTTTTTTTAAGTCAGTGTTTCACCATGTTGGTCAGGCTGGTCTTGAACTCCCAACCTCAGGTGATGTACCCACCTCGACCTCCCAGAGTGCTGGGATTACAGGCGTGAGCCACCGCGCCGGGCCGAAAAAATGACTTTCTATTTAAGAAATGGTACTGGGAGAACTGGCTAGCCATATGCAGAATATTGAAACTGGACCCCTTCTTTACACCATATAGAACAATCAACTCAAGGTAGATTAAAGACTTAAATGTAAAACCCAAAACTATAAACACTCTGGAAGACAACCTAGGCAACACCATGCAGGACATAGGCATGAGGAAAGATTTCATGATAAAGACGTCAAAGGCAATCACAAAAAAAGCAAAAATTGACAAACAGAATCTAATGAAACTAAAGAGGTTCTGCACAGCAAAGAAAACTATCAACAGAGTAAACAGCCTACAGAATGGAAGAAAATATTTTCCAACTATGTATCTGAAGAAGGTCTAATATCTGAGCATCTATAAGAAACTTCAACAATTTTACAAGAAAGAAACAAACAAACCCATAAAAAAGTTGGCAAAGGGTTCGGCACAGTTGCTCACACCTGTAATTCCAGCACTTCGGGCAGCCAATGCTGGTGGATCGCTTGAACACAGGAATTTGTGAACAGGCTGAGTAACATGGCAAAAACCCATCTCTACTAAAAATAGAAAAATGAGTCTGGCATGGTGACATCTGCCTGTAGTCCCAGCCTCTTAGGAACCTGAGCTGGAAGGATCACCTGAGCCCAGGAGCCAGAGGTTACAGTGAGCCATGTTGGTGCCACACCACTCCAGCCCGAGTGTCAGAGTGAACATATAATAAAAGTAAAAAAAAAAAAAAAATCAAAGAAAAAACAACAGTCTCATCTTTCTCCCAGAATCTGCAGGAGAAACAGTGTCTCTTAAACTTTGATTTAAATGGACACCAAGAGAAATGAGAGGGTGTAACTAGAGCTCAGATGTGTGACAGTCAGATGAGAGTGGCCCTCACCTGGCAGAGCCAAGCAGCCTAGTGTGGGGCAGGTTCATGCAGGAACTTTCTCTACTTCTCTGCCCAGATCCTCCTGAGGATCAATGTCCGTGTTCTCCTAGAAAGTTTAAAGGCAAAGAGAAGAATTACCTTCTAGGGCTAATGTCTTTCCCCTAAATATCCAACTTTTTTTTTTTTTTTTTTTTTTTTTGCTATTGTACAAATTGGAAGAACGTACACCTTCTGGGTAGATTCTGCATAGTGGAGAAAAGGCTTGAGAGGCATAAAGGCTGGACTTTACTATCACTACCCCTCACTCCATCATCCTTATCTATGCATTTCCCTCGTAACCCAATCCACAGCCTGGTACCTCCCACTGACATTTCTGCTGCATTACAGACACAGACCTGCAAATAGCTATCGTTGCTGGGAGGAGCATGGAATCTGGAATGAAGCCAGAGGGAAAGGCTGAAAGGGATCATTTAAATGCTCCAAGTCCGAGATTTACTCAGAACACTGGACAGAAGACTGGACATAATTCTGAAGATCACCCAGAAAGAGAGACCAATGTCATCTCTACCTGTGAGTTGAAAAGGCACAGCCTTCAATAATCTCAAGTCACACAAACCAAGAAAGAAACAGAAAATTGTATGGGAAGAAAATATGTGCATTTCTACGGTGCATGCTTTGCTGAGAGTTGTGGGTGTGTGGAAAAGAAATCCTGAGGCTGTGGTATCTGAGATGCTTGTGGGGTGTGGGGTGTGGACCCTGGTCCAGTGTAACCCTCTGTGAGCATGTGGTGGTGTCTGATGAGAATGAGATCTGCTGGGATGATGTGACTTTAGATGGAAGGTAGATGCCCCACCAGGACGAGCAGATGTGTGAGTGAGTGTAAGGGAGGGGGTGTGCTTTGTCTTCCTGTCCGTGATGTGTGTGTGTGAGCACAGCCAGACCAGTGCATGAGCATTTTTATGTGCATAGTGAGCAGTTGTGTGTGCTAGAATTTGACTGTGTATTGAAGCGGGAACACACATCTGGCTTTCTGTGCAGGTGAAACTTCCTCCCCACACAGCCACACCTTTGATGAAGAATCTGTGTGTCTTTTTATGTGTGTCAATGTGGATCCCTGGTGGCTTAACTGGTGGGGCTCTTGGGGATTGTGAATTACCAAGGACTCAGATCACTTATGAGAGCAAAATGTATGATCAGTAGATGTCTCTTCCCAATGAGAGTGGGGAAGATGAATGCAGAATATGGGGGCGACGGTTCCTGAGGTAGGGTCTGCACAAAGTGAACACTGGTTCTTGCTTCCAACTCAGCTTCCCTGTCCCTAGCCTAACCTGTTCTTCCCATTGTGAGACAGGAGGATATGCAGAAGATGGTTTGCTAGGGAAGGACAGCAGAGGCAGTGGTTTCAGACACCGAGTCATACAAAATATCCACTGTAAGCTGTGTCCGAACTGAGACTAAACTTGTTTCTCCACCCATGAAGGAACAAATTTAGTCTCAGTTCAGACAGAGCTTACAGTGGATATCAGTCAACAAAGCAGCTGGGTTCACTGGCTCATGGCTTTAATTCTACCAATTTGGGAGGCAAAGATAAGAGAATAACTTGAGGCCAGAAGTTTAAGACCATTTCTTTAAAAAACTTTAATCAGACTGGCAGAGTGACAGGCACCTTTCATCCCAACTACTCAAGAGGGAGCAGGTGTGTGAGGATCACTGCAGCCCAGGAATTCAAGGTTTCAGTGAGCTGATTGCACCCCACTGCGTATCAGCTTGGACAAAAGAGCAAGACCCTATCTCAAATATACAGAAAAATCATCAACCACTTGTAGTCGTCACCGAAATCAATAATTTCCTCCAGTTATGTCCCTGATCCACAGGCTTCATTTGTGCAAGTCCTGGGGCTGTGCTCTCAGCAATGTGTGTCCCTTTCTGAGAAAGACGTCCATTGCCCTTGATGACTGTGATGCATGTGCATCCTACACATAGGGGCTTCCTATTTTTTTTTTAATAATTTCCCTCTCTGTTTTAAACAAGTGTTGCTTCTCACTGGAGTGAATTTTTAAACTCTTACATTATCAAGTCTTGTTTTTATTTTCTGAGTTGAAAATGAAGGCAGGTCAGTGTTTCAGGACTCCCTTGTTCTGTTAGTTCACCCCTAACAGGACCTAAACATTCCAAGGATTCGGATAAGTTTTACATATATTAACTCCTCTATTATGGAGGACATCCTAAAACATAGGAATTCCTGATAATCCTCCTTGTCCTAGGGAAACTGAGGCAGGGAGAGTTCAAGTAATGGATCTAAGATTGCGCTGCTTGTAAGAGGCAGAATGAGGACCGGAATCCAGGCATCCTAAACCCTTGCTCTTACCTATGGGTCCACTATATCTTCAGGAATATGAGCCCCTGACTGTGGAAGGGTGAAAGGGGGAGGCCTTGGAGTCTGCCCTTTAATCTCTAAACTCCTGCACCATGGGAATCTGTTACAGGAGGGGAGGCTGCACCTGACCCTGCACCTCTCACTCACCCTCAATACCCTGGCAGGTGCCATACAAACTTCCTGTGTCCTTGTCTATTGGTTCCTGTGTGATAATCAAAGGAACACCGATCCTCTCTTTTATGTGAGTACTCCACGGTCCAACAGAGGGGGTGGTAGAGAAGGGAGAAGATTTGCTAAGGGCTTGATGTTATGTGTGAGTGATGTAGAAATGTCTAGCTGGCAGGATGGTGGCTTCATGCAGGTGCAGGTCCTGGAGACCCTCCAGCACCCGGCATGAGACCTGCAGCAACTGCATGTGGGCCAGCCATGGGGCCTAGGGGAGGAGAACACTCAGTGGGTTGGGGCTGTGGCTCTTAATCAAGGGGCACCGAATTTTCAGGGAATGAACAAGTCAGGCCCGGGTCAGTGACTGGCTCAGTTTTCATCTGGGGATGAGGAGTACAGCATCTCCCTGCCGGGGGCATGAGGAGCTGAAGCATCCCCACAGGGACCAGGCCTGCAGTATCATCAGGGAGACTTGCCCTGGCCTGGGTAAAGGGGGGAAGGGATTTGAGTGGGTGTTTGCGCAAGGGAGGGACCTGCCCAACCTGCTGTGTGCTTTGCCCTCAGCAATGACCCACAGCTGCAGGTGGATTTCCACACTGGAATGGATGAGGACTCAGAAATTGCCTTCCATTTCCGAGTGCATTTTGGCCATCGCATGGTCATGAACAGTCGTGAGTTTGGGATATGGAAGTTGGAAGAGAAATCGTACTTCGTGCCCTTTGTGGATGGCGAACCATTTGAGCTGCGCATCTACGTGCGTCACAGTGAGTACGAGGTGAGCACCCCAGGAGCTCCCAGCACCCAGACTCTGTGGGCCCCCAGAGCAGGAGGCAGCTCTCATTGACCTGGCCTCACCAGCCCCTCAGGGCCCATCTTTCATAACTGCTTCTGCCCCAGGTTTTCATCACAGAGCGCCCTCTGCTGGCACTGCCATCCTCAGCTCTTTCCCAAATCTGACTAAGGTCAAGGTCAGCCCACCTTCCATTTCCCCCAAAGTAGAGAATCTCCTCTGTTTTTCTCACATAGTGTTCATTTCTACTTATGCCATTATTTAAGTTTTCATTTAGCTGAGTGAATACAATATACTTAAGAAAAAAGTTGTTTTAATCAGTCAAAAATTAAGTCTTCATCTCACTTCTGGGCCCCGATTCTACTCATTAGAACAATATTACCAGAGCTCTGCTCTCCTTCAGAGAGACTTCTTTTTTTTGAGACAGAGTCTCACTTTATCGTCCAGGTTGGAGTGCAATGACATGATCTCAGCTCACTGCAACCTTCACCTCCTGGATTCAAGTGATTCTTTTGCCTTAGCCTCCCAAGTAGCTGGGATTCCAGGCATGTGCCACCACACCTGGCTAATTTTTGTTATTTTTAGTGGAGATGGGGTTTCACCATGTTGACTAGGCTAGTCTTGAACTCCCGACGTCAAGATATTCACTCAACTCAGCCTTCCAATATACTGGGATTACAGGCATGAGCCACCGTGCCCAGCCCTTCAGGGGAAATATTTGCCTTTGGAAGCATATAGATATGCCTATGATTCCATTTGTCTTAAAGCAAATCCTGGTATAACTTACTCTACAGGTTACCATTTAGGAACTAAGTTGATTTGCTGTCAAAGAATGTATCTTAAAGACATTATCAATCCATGGTGCTGCTTCAGTTTTTAAAGACTGCATAACATTGCACTAAGAAGTTTACCCAAAATTATTAAACTTGACCCTTTTTTGGGCACTAAAGTTGTTTGCAATATTTTGCTCTCACAAATGATGCTGTATTAAGTTTTCTTTTGTCATTACCAACTTCCCAATACTTATTTTGGAAGATAATTACACAAAAAATGGAAAAATTGGCTCAAAAATGTGTGCATTTTAAATTTGAAAAAATTAATACTAATAAAGTGACTTTTTCTACAGCCTCAATATAAGGAATATATCCATACTTTCTGGCTTTCTCTAATGAATAGGGCAAATGATTCATATCTTATTCAGATTCAAGTGAGGGATCTTTTCCTATGCTTTGAAGTTGTTGAACATAATATCCTATGCTAATTTATAAGACCTGTGCTTCTTTAACTCTCTAACAATACTGGGTTTTACTCTTTGTCAATAGCATCTCAGATGTAGGCTACTCCAAAGAGAAACTGTGCCATCAGTAGTAAAAGGCAGTCACAGTTCATGGAAATGAAAAGTATGCATTTCAGTGAATGTGGTCGAGTAGTAACTCTGTGGCATGCCCTGTGCAAGATGCAGAGTCTCAAGTTCCCGAGACGCAGCCCCTAGTGATGGGGATCATTCGGGTTAGAAGGGAGGCTGAGTTAACAGGGGCTGTGTGACACAGTGTAGAACTTCACTAGAAGAACGAGAGAAAGCATTAGAAACAAAGTTGGCAACTGTCTCAAATAGGCACAAATGTCTTGTGTAAACAGAAGTGTGTCTACTAAGTTCACCTGCATAACTAGTAGTGTTCTTGGGGAAAGTTATTGGTACTAAGGCAGAGTGGAGAGGAGGCTGAAAACTTATTTGGTGTCCTACTGTCTTTCTGATGCATTTTTTTCCTCCTGTAGGTAAAGGTAAATGGCCAACGCATTTACAGCTTTGTCCATCGACTCCCGCCATCATTTGTGAAGATGATGCAAGTGTGCAGAGATATCTTCCTCACCTCAGTGTGTGTCTGCAATTGAGAGAGATGACCACATTCCTCACTGTTGAGGAATCCTTTTCTACCTGACCATGGGATTCCTAGAGCCTGCTAACAGAATAACCCCTCTTTATCCCTTCCCTCACACTTGGTTATTAAAAAAGCACCAAACCTCACATACTTTGGTTCTTGCTTTAAGAGGGGGAAAGAGGAAGTGGTCATCCTCAAGAGGGGCCAGGGAATTTATGGGAGGCATCATGAAATCAAAGGGGATAAACCTTCCTGTGACAAAGGAAGTGAGTAGCAAGGTCCCTGGAATGTCTGAGAAGACATTAGAAACAGCATGCTTCTATAGCACGTAGTTGACATCATACAGTCTGAACCAAATGACTTACTCAATCTCAGATGACTCATGGCACTGAAATATTAGCTGTTTACAGCCAGGAAGGTATACCTGGTGACTCTCGGGAAACCCTGTAACTTGAGGAAAATAATGTGGAATTTCTTAATTTTTTCCATTGTTCTCAGGATGCTTATTGTGTATGAACACTGTGCCTGGCTTTGTGCGGGCTGCTGTGAAGGAACTGAAGAAAAAGATGACAAGTTTCACATGTAAAGTTTTCAATCCAAGTAATAGAGAATCACTGGAGCCCAGTGATTTCCCTTGAAGAATTCCAGTTATCCTTATTTTCAAACATTTGAAGATGTTTCCATTTTATGTGGGGAGAATCCAGAGGCTTCTCTTTGGAAATAACTGATCACCGCATCCACGCCAACATCTACAGTTTTGTTTTTTTTTTAAATTATGGCTATTCTTGCAGGAGTGAGGTGGTATCACTCTGTGGTTTTGATGTGCATTTCCCTAATTATTACTGATGTTGAGCTTTTTTGAATTTGTTTTTTGGTCATATCTATATCTTCTTTTGAGAATTCTCTATTCATGTTTTAGCCCATTTTTTTGATGTTTGTTTTTCTTTCTTGCTTCATTTGAGTTCCTTGTAGATTCTGGATGCATCTTTTGTCGATGCAGTTTGTGAATATTCTTCCCACTGTGTGAGTGGTATGTTTACCCTGCTGATCATTTTTTTTACTGTACAAAAGATTTTTAGTTTAATTGGGTCTCATTTATTTATTTTTGTTGCATTTGCTTTTGAGTTCTTAGTCATGAATTCTTTGCTTAAGCCAATGTCTACAAGAGTTTTTCCAATGTTATCTTGTTGAATTTTAATGGCTTTACATCTGAGATTTAAGCCTTTGATCTACCTTGAGTTGATTTTGTATAAGATGACAGATGAGAATTTAGTTTCATTCTTCTACATGTGGCTTGTCTGTGTTCCCAGCACCATTTACTGAGTATGGTTTTCTTCCCCCACAGATATAGTTTGGGTCTGTGTCCCTCCCAAATCTCACATCAAATTGCAATCCTCAGTGTTGGAGGAGGGACCTGATGGGAGGTGATTTGAACATGGGGGTGAATTTTCCCCTTGCATTTCTCATGATAGTAAGTCAGTCCTCATGAGATCAGGTTGTTTAGAAGTGTAGTATCCCCTGATTTACTCTCTTCAACCTGCTCCAGCCATGCCTGTAAGACATGCCAGCTTCTCCTTCTAGATTAAAAGAGACTACGGAAGCATAGAAACAAAGTGCATGAAACCTAATTAGATGGATTTAAAAACAGCTAACAAGGACATTTTTTTTGGGCAACTTAAATAGTACTGTAAATTAGATGGTGATTCTTAGGTGGTGGCAGAGTAGAACTTCCATCAATCTTGTGAATCTGAAGATACAAAAATTGTAGATTGGTGTCCACCAAGTGGGAGGGAGAGTTAGGCTTTTAGATGGAGCCCTGAAAGTGACAGATCCTAGAGCAGGGGTCCCCAATCTCCAATCTATAGACCAGCAACAATCCGTGGCCTGTTAGGAATGGAGCCACACAGCAGGAGGTGAGTATCACGTAAGCATTACTGCCTGAGTGACCTCCTGTCAAATCAGCTCCAGTATCAGATTCTCATAGAAGCACAAATTAAAATTTTACAACCAGAATCCCACATTGTGGGTGCCACAATGTATAAGTTTTATTGCAAATGGTAGCATGACTATAACAACTGCTACAAGGGTGATGTAGTAAAAAAAAAAATTGTTTAAAACTACTTGCCCAAGGTTAAACATTTCCCTTTTTGGGATTTACAGAGTTACAAGTGCAATATCATGTATAATTCAAAATTTCCTGCAAATATGCAATAAAAAGAAGTTTTTTTTTTTTTTTTTTTTTTTTGAGACGGAGTTTCGCTCTTGTTACCCAGGCTGGAGTGCAATGGCGCGATCTCGGCTCACCGCAACCTCCGCCTCCTGGGTTCAGGCAATTCTCCTGCCTCAGCCTCCTGAGTAGCTGGGATTACAGGCACGCGCCACCATGCCCAGCTGATTTTTTGCATTTTTAGTAGAGACGGGGTTTCACCATGTTGACTGGGATGGTCTCGATCTCTCGACCTCGTGATCCACCCGCCTCGGCCTCCCAAAGTGCTGGGATTACAGGCTTGAGCCACCGCGCCCGGCCCCTAAAAAGAAGTTTTAATATTTGGTAGCAAATTTTGAGAGGTAAGGGCAGAAAAGACAAAAAAGTATCTGTTTAGGTAAAGGTGAGACTGAGTCAGATGAGTAACCTTTACTCAGTTAATGTTTATGATTTTTAGCTTAAGACTTTCTATTTTTCCACATTGATATTCTGGTCACATCTCTGGGCTGCTAAGGGTTGCTCCTTCCGTTTTTTAGGCTTTGATTTCAGTGTGATGTATTTAGGAGTTGATTTGTGTAACTTTTGCTGCCAAGAGGGTTGAAAGAACAGTGTAGGGCCCCTTCCCAGCTTGGCTTAAGGAAGGGTAGAGAGTTTTTACTAATACTACATTTCCTGGGTTAAATAGAGATTATTTTATTTCCTTGGACTTTTGCTAGTTATGTTAATGCCTTGAGGCTTCCTTGCCTCTGACTTAGCTTCCTGATTAGCTAATTTATTTCCTTTGGCTACCTTATTTATTTTCTTTTGCTGTTCCCTGCAATGCATCCCTGCTATTTCTTGTGGAAGAAAATCTGAGGATAATAACCTGTTAATTTCCTGGTGATACTTTATGAGAGATTCATCAGTGGTTAAAAAAAAAAAGCCTTTTTAAAATGGCAGCATAAGCATGGAAAATTAGAAAAGCATACTTGGAGTTAGTATAAATGTTTTGAATACAGTGACCTCTGCCTCTGGGCCGTTCTGTTTCCAGTGTTTTTGTCACAGCTTGGACAGGGATGAGGTTACTTAACTAGCTTGCTTTTGCTTAATTTACGTGCTATTGTAAGAGCTATTAGCTCAGCCAATTGAGTGCTTGTGTTTGGGGACAGTGACAACTGCCGATCCTGCCTTATGTACTTTCTTTACCAGCTGTTTTCTAGCTAAGAGTTCCCTTTAGAGGAGAGAGATCCTGCCACATTATGTGGGCTGTAAACAGTTGAGTTATTTTCTAGGGTTAACTTGGAGGCTTTTCTGACTAGTAGAGCTATGATGACAACACCTTGGAAGCATGTGCAAATAGGTCTTTCTAACTACAAGTAAGGTTGAGAAAAATATAGGATTAGAGTCTTCCCTGCGATGTTTCTAAACTTCTCCTTCAGGATGAGCTGTTCCTCCACTGAATTAGGGAATAAGAAAACGTGCTCTATTAGTGCCTCTCTTAGTCTTTCGATAAAGGCTATAGGATTCTTATCTGGCTTTTGGTTCATTATAGACAGTTTAGAGTAACTGAGGGGTTTGGCCCTGGTTTTCCATAGGACTTTTAAAATGTGTTTAAAAGTTGGTTTCCTTTCGATTCATTTCCAGAGCTACTGTGGTTTTAGTTAGGGCTGTTTACTGGAACTGCTTCCCTCTCTATTGGGAATGGTGTTTTTGGTTATTTTTTTTTTCTTTCCCTCTCTGCCTTCTTCCCTTTTGGTGTATTACAGGAGATAATCTCATCTCCGAAATTGTCTGCTGCTTGCAGAACTACCTGCTTTTTAGCTGCAGGTTTGGTTTACGAGCAGCAGAACATCCCACCATGTGAGGTTACACACCTCACTAAATTTTGGAAAGCTTCTCTATACCTATTAGAGTTTTTAGAAAATTGGCCTATGATTCCCTTTATTTGCCTAAGGTATTGTAATAGGAAGGGAATGTGAGGGGAACCCAAATAAGGGGGATCCTCAGATGGTTCCCCTGAAAGTTTCTTTTAATTATGGAGAACTGTTTTTCTTGGGCTTTTCTGATATGATTGCTAAAAGAGCTGATCTTACACCACTTACAAAGATTTAGTAAAAATGCCACACCCCTATGCAAAAGAAAATGAGTTGCTTTTCTCCGTAAAGTTTTGAGTTTAACGAAGTTTCAGCGTTTCAGAGTGCACTGCAGAGGGGTGCAAGCTGAGGATAATTTATTACAGATTTAGATAATGTAGCGAAAATAAAAACGTCCTCTTAGCCTCCTTCCTTTTCTTATGACCCAGAGTGGAGGAGAAGACAAGGAGCATCCTCCAAATACTTTCCCTCCCTGGTTTCCGGATCTTCGCATCACGTTAAATGTGTCCCCCATGGTTGTAGGCGTGCTCTTCCAAGCCATATAACTGGATGTACTAGGTGATGGGGCTAATCATGCTCATCTATGAAATTTTATATTTTTTTACTTTAGGTACATACTGTATCTGGCATTTCTCCCCATGTTATGCCTCCCCACCCTCCCCACCCAGCCCCCTGCTGCTCTCTCCCCTACTCCCCCAACTGCCCCCATTGTGTGATGCTCCTCTCCCTAAGCAGTTTTAGCTTATCCACCTCGTGTGATTTACTTTGATTTTTCTAAACCCGTGTGATTTGCCTAGCTCCCAGAAAAAAGGATCTCTGGAGGGACCCTGTTACCTTTGCACAATACTTCTTTAATGGAGGCAATGTGCTAGACTGCCTGGTACTACAACCCATGCTAATGCACTTACCCTTAAAAAAAAAAAAAAAAGTGTGGTTAACTTTCAAACTTAAAATATCCTTACTAATTAAGTACTGTCTTAATTGGAGACAGAATAGGTACCTTAAAAGAAGGTAGAAACCGAATGGCTGTATTCCTAGGGATAAAACAATATCGGAACTAAAATCTGGCTGTGGAAGACATCTTACTCC